AAGGCACTGAAAGTTGTTTTTTTTTTTTTTTTCAAACAATTTTCGATTAGCACTCAGTCTGATTCTGTTACTGCTGAGAGAGCTGTGCTACTGTCTTCAGGAGGGGCAGCAGCACACTCAGTCCTTTTAATTCTTTCAGACTGGGAGTTGGAAATTCCAGATGCGGCACTTCTTGCTGTTAATGAGCACACAAAAGCTGATTGGTGACAGTAAAGAGAAAGAGAAGCAAGGGATATGGACACTATGAAGCACAGATGAGAAGAGCTAAGGTTTGACACAGATGCATTGACTGCTGCCCTGAAAGGGAAAAAACAAAGCACTATGGCTTTTTCTAGTCTAGTGAATGAATAAATAGAAGATGACAGAAAGTCTTTTGGATGCTTATGAATGTCAAATACTTTTAAGTGGCTGCCTTTCCTTGTCACTTAACATTAAAGAGCTATATAAAAATACACTTATGCTCAGTCATTTGGCTAGGGACAGAAGGCTTAGCTGACTTATAACTTCGATATCAATTAGATACAAATGTTAAGGCTGTCTTTTAAAAGACCCCTCCCTTACTAGTTTATCCATTATCTTTGTACAGTTCTCCCACCACCTGTATGTATTACTTAAACAGATTAACAAGTAGAATTGTAAATTGGTCCCAAAAGAAACCTTTTCAAGCTCAAGATCTATTGTTTTGTTGGGGGTTTTTTATTTATTTTTTAATTTTTAAAAAAAAAAGGTGCCTGTAATGGATATATATACACAAATACTTTTCTCTGGAAGGTTTTGCAAACCAAGCATTATAGCATTCTGCTGGTGCCTGAAAACAAAACAACCTAACATAAAGTAAAAACAACTAATCCTTCCTAACTAGAGATGTAAATTTTGCTTTCTAAGCACAAGTAACTGATCAGGAAAATAAAATTATTATTGTTTCCCATTCTCCCATTAGACATTTCCATCCTTTCAGCTGTGCTAAGATGCAAATTAACTCTTCAATGCCTATTCACAGACTGAGTGAGCTGGAAGAGGTGGTCCTAAAGAAACCAAGAGTAAACAACAAAGGCCAGAAAGTCTGTAATGACATCAAACAGCTGTATCAGCTGTTGTCCGTGAAAGGTGGTTGGGTGGTTCTAATTCTAACACATAGGTGAGAAAACCCAGAAAGAAACCAGACAGCACAGTTTGTACCAGTAAGGAGTTAAAGTTTTCCTGCATGTGACAGTGAACTGTGTTATTGCTAATTAGGGAAAGGAATTATTTTTATCTCCTTTCCCTGTGCCAAGCAGGCATAGTTCAGCTGCACCATTCAAATCTTTCTCTGTCACTGTTTTTTTTTTTTCCCCCTCTTCCAATTACTCATCTGCATGAGCAGATTCTTTTAATTTTAACACTGAAACTGCAGTGTATCTAAATCAGTATCTTTAGATTAAAATTAAATCCCAATGAAGAGTTAGGTGTTTGAGTAGCTGCAGTAATTTCAAAGCCACTTAAAAAAACCACCAAAAACAACAACAACAACAAACAAACAACCACAAAAAAATCCTCCACCCGAAAATCACACAAATCTGGTAGACCTCATATTACTGAGAGTTTTAGATGAAGGAGAGATGTTCACAAGGGTTTTAAGGGGATAGTGACAAAGCCCAAGCCCAGTTAAAGTCCTGCACAGATATGTTGTTTCAGAGTATTATAGTATTAAAAAAGAGTATTAAATGCACAGCAGGATGGTAGGATGGACTCCAAACAGTTATATTACTCTTTTCCCTTTCCAGTAAGTTCCTGTTAAAACATAGTGCCTTAAATTAATCTTTTCCCCCTCTCTTTTCTGTGATTAAGACTTCAACTGAATTGCAGTTTGAACTTTTCTTCCCCCTGTGCTACTGTGACTTAAAGTTCAGCTACATACAGGAAAGAGAGGACAAGGCAGGAGCTCACCACTGACATGGCAGGTCTGGCTGCTTACCATGTACATGACATTTGGAGGTGGGGGTAAATAGAGATGACAAATAGTGTTCATCACAGATGTGACTTGCTGGTAGTACTGAATTGAGAACTAGCAAACCCAAAAGGTTTGTAAAGATTTGTGAAAGAACTTCATAATAGTAACACGTAAACGTAATAAAAGAGAAAATTAAATCGAGTGCTCATGGTGAAAAATAAGCCATCCCCTCATCTCACAGTGACTGTATGCTATTACCATTAAGGAAAAGGATTTGGAGCTATTTTAGCTAGTTCTGTAAATATGCCACCTCAGAGCTTACTAGTGATCAAACAAGCAGACAGTGTTAAGAATGAATAGGAGAGGAACAGTGAACAAACCAGAAAACATTGCCACGACACTGTATAAATCCACTGTGCATTCAATTCTCAAATCATCTGTGTAGTTTTGGTGTCCTCTCTCAAGGAGGGTATAACAGAATTAGAAGAAAAAGACATGGCAGGAAAGCAATAAGGAGTAGCAAATGTTGCACAGCTTCTGTTTAAGGAGTGATTCAGTAGGATTCTCCATAAAGGAAGAGGTGGCAGAGAGAAGACAATAAACTTGAGAGACACAAAGTGACTAGGCAATGATTGTTCACAATTTCTCAGTTTGACCTAAAAGAGAATGAAGTTGTGTTAAAAAACCACGTTCCTTTATTTTTTTTATTTTTCCATGCTTTCCCACAAAACAAGCTGCTCACTGGCACAAGACATTAGGTTTGGTGTTTTGGTCTGGTTTGGCTGTTTGTTTTCTTTTTCTTCTCCTTACATTAATTTGTCTAACCCTTCTAAACCTTTTCTCATTATCAGTCAGGGGATATTGAAACAGCAATGCACAACGTCAAGCTCATGCAGACCTGAATCAGCTGGGAAGGCAAAACAGGGGACATATCAGTAAGTGCTTTGTTATTTATGGCCACTGCCAGGGGCTGAACACTGGATGAGAAGGAGCTTCCATTTTTCACCAGGGATGAGATTCCCAAATACTCATGTAGTATCATGTACTTTTCTGAAAGTTGCCAAATACATGGATGTATGTAAACAGGTATTTGTTAGCTTCTATGTCCAACTGCCAAACACTATGAAGTCTAAATGGTTTTGGGAGTTGGGAAAGGGAGCATGAGAGTGAGAAAGTGTCTTCTAGAGCAAGTTTTGTTTAATAACACAGAGATTGTAAAATGATGAACTCCCTCACTCCCAGCAGAAGAACATCAGGTTTTTCAGACCTTCCACTGCACAAACTAGTGGGACATGCCATGTGAAAACCACACAAGAGTCCTGTTCTCCCATCTTGTGAAATATGTTTTTACTTGGTAACATGTTGCAGTATTGTAAGTAATAGTAGAAAGTGTGATACAGTGCAGAGAATCAGGCACCTGAGTTCAAAAATATTAATAAATGGCTAGAACAACACTATGAAGGGTGACCCTTCTTGGAGAAGGAACAATCAAATATTAAGGAGAGTTTAAAAATGGTTTTGATCTTTTGACCAGTGGACAATGGACATTGTACTTTTATTATATTAATCCTTTCCCATGTTCAACATGCATTAGACTTTTTAATATAAATCTTATTAACGATATAATCAGCTGAAGAGAACTAACCTCATTAAGAGGCAATGACTTTAGCAATACTCTATGCTTCTGAGTAGAAAGGGAGGGCTGCAGACCTACCTGTCCCATTACAGAGCTGGGGGAGTTTGTGCAAACCACCTCCCTGGGACATTGCTCTCTGCCTTGGATTCTGTTCTGCAAAATAAAGCTAATTATACAGCTCTCCCCTCTCTTTCTACAGAGGTCTTTGAACTACACTGCTGAAAAGCCATTGAAGAGCAAGGTATTAGAGATCAAAACCAGACTAGAACTGCAAACACAGATCCATCATCCATGAAAGTTTTGATTTGGAATCAACTTCAAACTTTGCTTCTTTCTATCAGTTGCACTGGCTGAGGATATAAATATCCCCACAAGCTTCAATGATATCCTGATACAAACCTGTAGGGGAACTTTCTGGCTCCTGCCCTTCTTTTGAATTTAAAGCTCATCTAAACAGCAGCCTCCTGCACATGGTACATTCTCACTGAAGTGCGAATTTTCCATGTAATACCAGGCTCTTCAAAGTACACTCCCCCTTTTCTCTACTGCTCATTGGCTTCAGCAGAGAACAGCAATTAAGTTGCTAGTATTATCTCTGGCTTCTACTTCAATACAACATCAAAGGGACATATGTATATTTTAAAGAATTACAACTATAGCTGTACAAAACTTGCCTTAAAAGCCCCAAACCTTAGTAGTACGTTTCTATCTTCACCTTTTTTTATATTATCCTTTTCAAGCTCTGTTAGATTCACAGAAAAACCACTGATAGAACAACTCCTATTATCCCAAATAAAACCAAAACACTTTAGAGGTTCAGCTAATAAATTATGTCCTTGGTGTTTACAGGCACTGAGGAGACTAACTTGTTTCAGTTAAGAAGACATGCCAAATAATCACACAAATAGTACATGCCTGAAATTTGTTACATGCTTGGTCTCCTTCCTTCTTACTCTGATGTGTATTCCCCCAAGTTCTCCCACTGTCTCCAAATCATTTGCATGAGTACTCTGCCTCCTTGAAATAACGACACAAAAGAACTCCCCATCCCACCAAAAAAAAAAAAAAAAAAAAAAAAAAAAAAAAAAATCAACACCACATAAACCATTTAAGAAGTTTTTAAACATACACTTGATCTTTTTGAGTTTAGGGATGCAAGTGGATGTTTTTGCTGAAGTTGTTTACCTAAAGGTACTTTAGGTGCCCCCATTACTGGGTCACCATACAGTAGCTACAGCTTTCTCAATCTTTCATGCACTCATTTTCTCAATATCCCGCAGGAAGTCAAAAAGTGCTATTATCTCTGGTCTATAATCAGGAAGATAAAGACAAGAGAGGCAAAAAGCATGGTTTCCAAAAGTACATTAAATCCTAAATCACTTAACCCTTATTACAAACAGTATTGTGCTGTGCTCCAGCAACAGTGTGGACAAGCCAGCAGTCTTTTCTGTACCGTTCACTGGAACATAGCAGAGTGCTCCTCTCGGGGGAGCAGCCTACATGCCATTTCTGGAAAAAGAAACATTAGACATGTTTACATATCACTACACCTAAAGCAGAAAGGCCTTTTTGAGAACAGCAGACTGGTTTGAGGCCTCAATTTGAAACGTTTGCAGTGTCACATTGTGTTACAGCATTCCTGCTAGCTCATGATCTTTGCACCATACTGGCTTTAAGTTGCAGACAAGTCCTGTTAAGTGATGCTTTGACTTTGTAAGTGCTATTTCGGCTCCTGCAACACAAGTGTTCCTGAAAATTTTGCTTTGCACATGTTGGTTGAAATGAAGATTATCTGAATCTCCAGAAACCTGAAGCCCTGTCTGAACTGAAGCACCACCCTCAGACAGACCATTGTCATGCACAAGTGTACACATGGGTGTGTATCTATGCACAGGTTTATAGTGTCATTGGTTACTTCTGTCTCTGTTTATCGCTCAAAAAATCAGAAGAGAGTAACATGCAAACATGGCTTGTTTGGTGCATTTTAAAGTACTGACCATTAAGAAATACCAAAATTAATAAATAAAACAATAAGCTTCCAGTGAACTTCTCCACCTGCACTCATGAAATCCATGAAGCTGATCAAACCAGTGTAACTTGAAGCATGTTTTGACTCTTCTTCCTAATAAACAGGAAAATACTTTGACAAAAAACAAACAAGCAAACAAACAAAAAACCCCCACAAAAAAACCCCACAAACAAAAAACCTCAAGTAAAGCAATAGAACACAAAATTTTTCCCCCTTGCTGATATTTTATAGATGACAAGTCATGAAATGATTGATCATGTACTGTAATGACGGATAAGGACAATTGACTAAAAGGTCAAAACTATTAAGTGAATAGCAAAAAAAAAAAAAAAAAGAGAAGGTGGTACATTTCTCTCTGAGGCATAGTAAGTTTAAATGGCAGGAAACCTTCACGTCATAGCCACACTGCTTCCATTTAATCTTTAAGAGTAATGAGCTGAAATATCAGCAAGCATTGTAACATTTTTGGTTATTCTTTGACAAGCAAAATTTGAGCAGGATTAAGGGTGTTTGGATTACCTCCAACACATATTCAGATTTTCAAATTTATACATTTTTTGCAAAGCTTTTCTTTAAAATAAGTGTATCATAGCATGATATCCTTACTAATTTCTTCCCCTTCGTTTATGAGTGTGCATCTACACAGTCAAGAATAAATAAAAAAAAAAATTGATGAGTACAGTCCTGAATTTATCCTTATTTCAGGAATTACAGATATCTCTAAATTATTCTAAGTTATCTCTACAGTTGTTCTAAGGCTGGATTTAACCAAATATATTGATCTGATAGCTTGTGTGCTTCTAAAGTGCAGAGAGCCTTTCAGTGACAGCAACTCTTTACTTTGTAGGCTAAGCTCACCTACCTTGGGTAACAAAGGTTCAAGGAACTCGATGCAATACCAGCTAACATGGCACAGAGGAGAAACCTGCGGAGCTAGTGTTTGCCCTCAGTGATCCTGTCCCGGTTCTCCTGGGTATGGTGCTACAGACTGAGAGGCTCTTTAGAAATTGTCAGTAACCCCCAACATAGCAAGACCACTTCATGAAAGCAGTTTCTCACCCCACCAACTATCAAGTTGATTTATTTCAATTTTCTAAAATCCTAAGCATTTTTCGTTAACATTAATTTTCAAATGATTAGAGATGACACATTTTTGTTTATAAATAGTGGTTTGTGTTGGGGTTTTTTTTTGCCTGTCTTCTCTTCCTAAAGAAATCTCTGCAAAAACATGCCTATTACACCTACAAATCATTGAACCTACTTAGCATTTCTTGAAGAGGTGCAATATTTTTTTTTTTTTCAAATGTGACTTTTTTTGTGCTAGTGCATTTGTCAACATTAGAGTAATTAGCTCAAGTTTCATCAACTAGCTGGTGCAATCTGTTCAGAAAGCAACTTGGAATGTTAAAAATCCTAATAAGCTTCTCAGCTTCATAGTTAAAGCCTGAGGGATTTGATTTCAGTTCTGTCTAAAATCAGAGGAAGCCTTTTATAAGATAAATCAATACTGCTTAAAAAAAAATAAATAAATAAAAAGGAAAAAACCCCAAAACAAAATTACTAAGTAAGAATGATGTTATTAGGCATAATTATTTTTCTGATATTTTAGGTTGCTGCATACTTTTAAAAATTAAGCAGGATTTTACACAAGAAAATTTGAACTAAATCAAATCTGGAGCTCTAAACCTGCAAAAGCTTCCATCCCTCAGTAACCTCACATTTGTGAGTACTCTAACTGAACTCAAAAATGTTTGAATGACAAATAAAAAGTTACCCAGTATCTACTCCTAGTGAAATAGATATGCAGTAAATCATTTATGTACTATTTTGCTTCTTGCTTTTCTTCAGGCTGTTTGTGTCTGCACACGCTTGTATTTGTGTGCTTTAAGTGCAGATAGAATCACTTAAGTCAGAAACAAGGAAAAATATGCTTTTCAATACATAAAAAGCACTTACTGATAGTGGTTTGTCTCCACCAAAAGGCAGCACATAAAATGGAACCTCTGGAAACATTTTAAACAGCTGCTTGATCAAAAGCAAAACATTATTTTTAAAATACTAAAGCAATCTTTCTCCCTTAGCAGCCATCTACTAACACAGTTCAGGAAGACAAGAGGCTTGAAAAACTTTTAAGTAAAGAAGTCGCACAAAGAAACTACATTAACAGAAGTGGATTGTATGGTAAGAATTACATGGGGATTAAGGTACACAAAGGTACACCCTGGGTAGCTGGTGACTTCGCTGAGGCAGTTGTAGGGGAAAACTAGTGTGGGAATGAGACAAGAATGGACACCAACTTGGTTGCCTTGATTTATCAAAGTCCCATAAACTGTGAGATGAAAGCACGCAGCCAGGCACAGCCTCAATAAGGATGGAAGGGGAGAGAGGGAAGCTTCACAGCCAGTACTGCTCCATGAACCTGGGAATAAGCACTTACACTGTGGCTCAAAACTCCTGCTTTTCCTGGTATACTGTCCATCACATACTCTCATAGAGCAGAATTAATAGGCTTCTGCATGTGTTATTTTCACAGTAATAGGACCACCAGATGGGAAACAGAGAACAACTTTTCCTGAAAGGAGGAAGAAAATGGAAAGGGCTAGGGAAAAGGCCAGTAAAAATGCCATGGACATAAAATAAGAGCACTGTGTTTCAGCAGCAAAAAGAAGTAAAAATAACTCTGAGAGTATCCTCCTGCCTGTTTCATCACTTCAGAGAAAATAATCTTTTTCTTAGAAGGTACCTTCTCTGAAAGATCAAATTAGGTTATAATACATTTACTAATTAACAGAAACATACGAGAAATTGCAACTTGAAGGCTTTTAGTTAGTACCGATTATGTCACTTGCAAACAGAATTAAACATTCTTTTACAGTCTGTTCCCTGACAATTTTCCTGGCTTTTCTTCTATTTTGCCTCATGCCAAGACAAATAGAGGGCTATGTTTTGATCTTTAGGCAATACACCTGCACACCCATGTTCTGAGCACAGCTGGGCTCCAAAGCTAAGGAAGCAGGGAGGAGATGCCCCTTTGTTGTAACACTGGGTAAACTCAGACATACATTCCAAGTCACATTTTGGTCCATGACATGTTTTTGTGGAGCACAGATACCATAAATCCACTCCTCAATGGTTAGCTTGTAAAGCTGAATCTGCAACATCCACATCTCAAGCATGGCATGGGGATGCCAGAACCACGCTGTTCTGCAGGTTGCACAGCAGCAGCATCTCGCAGGCAACCAAACAATTCTAGAGCAGCTGTAAGGTTGTTCTGTGTTTGGCTGGGATCCTGGGCAGTTATCACATACTCTCAGACACTCAGAGGAGGGGAGAAGCAGCTTAAATCCCATGTCTACTCATGCTGTAGCTAAGGAGTTGGGCCAATTTTCATTTACTTGCTTAGGGCCTTAAAGCTGTACATAGGTGAAATACTTTTCTCACTCCTTTGCTGCTGTCACACGGATTAGCAGCCCCTGTAAGTGCATGTGCACTGTAACTGGGGACAAAGCTGAAGTCCTGCTGCTAAAGAACACTCCAGCAGGAAGGACTGCAGGGGGCATTAGTGTCCCCCGGGGGATCACAGTTCTGGTTACTGTTTCATATCTCACATTGCACTGACAGTCTGGGGAGTGGAGGGGAGTTTTCCTCCACAAATCACAGCAGTAGGTGCTGTGGAAAGGTTGGCGGTTTGGGGGAGTTGTTTCTGGTTTATTTGGTTTTGTTTGTGCAGTTCAGTTTTGTTTGTCTGTTTTAACATGGTAGAGAGTCTACTGTTATTCACTGCAGTATTGATAGTGACCTCGATCTCTCCTGCTTCAGTAAAACTGAGGACTTTGCATAAATTTTTTTTTGTCTCTTTTTCTGCCTAGTGCCCACTTCTTGCTTATTCCTTTTGAAAGTGTGAAGTATATTCTCTATGTCTCTGCTTTGTCTTCCCTCCACATAGTTTGTGGTGAGTTGAGCAACTTCTTCCCCATAAGAGGGGTGGAATATGCAATTCAGTTATTCAAGTGAGCCTTGACAACCAGGCCCAGGACTGACACTTTTACCCAGTCTGTTATGACAACAAGAGAAACAATGTGTGCAAGCATATACAAGTTGAGAGGGAGTAATACTTGTAAGTTCTGTTTGGGTTTTGTTGCTGTTTGTTTTTGCAAATCTATGTGAATAAGAGGCTATGAATAGTTAATCACATACTACTTATTACACACAGAACATCAATAAATAAATGTCAATTTCCCAAACTATATTTACTGTTTAACATGCATTTTTCAGTCTATTAATGTTTTTGTTTTTTTGTTTTTTTTTAAATTGCACCATATATGTAGTGCAATATATATAGTGCAATATATAATATGTATATATTATTGCTTGTATTGCTTTAGTTACCTAGCTTTCCTTCCATATACGTCAGCTATACAAGCAACTTCTTTTTCCCTGAGTTGGTAAGCATAATTGTTATAATAAACACTCCAGTGTAGAGCTCTGCAAGACTGAATGCACTGAATATTCTTACAGCTTAATTTGAAATTTGTTTTTTATTTCAGCCCTTCACGGTTGAATTCTGACTATATCGAGTACCTTTAGTGAAGGTTTATCTGATCCACTGTGTGCAGAAATTTAAAGATGGCCACAATCTGAGAAGAGAGCAATATCTACCAAATAAATTAAACTAAATATTAAGGCTTGTGTGATTCAGAGTGATTCAGTCTCACAGGAATATAGCTATACCATCTCTTCTTGCCAGAATGTGGCAAACAACAGTCAATATTCAGCTGGCCCCACCTCAGGTCAGGATGTTGAGCAGACTTCAAGGTTGCTTCCAGGCCTATTTTGTCTATTAGCAAAATGCTGCCTTAAATGGCCATTTGGAAATTCTCCTCATGCAGGGGAAATCTAACACTCCTTTAATATTTTTCCTTGTTGGTGGTACAGGACATGCAGCTAGGCAAAATGGTATATAAAAGGAAGATATTTATGGTTAGCAACCCCTGATTACAGGAACAGTGTGCTGAGAGCAGTTGCCATAAAACAGAAGAACCTTTAGTTTGCTCTGATTTATGTTTCTTCCAATAGCCAAAATCTCACTTGAGAAGAGGGCAGATACTGAGGAGGCTTAGAATCATTGCACAGTTTGGCAGCATCTGAAGAACTACAGAACAGAGTTACAGATACATTTATACATATTGAACAGCAAAAAAAAAAAAAAAAATGTTGGACAACAGTCTTAGTGTTCCGTTCTTTCTAATATGGTCTATTGTGTCAGTAACAATTTATTTTTAGTGTTTTAAAGTGGTACAGTATGATGTATTTCAAAGCTGTTGACCAAAAAAGTCCTCCAACAGTCTGCATATTTTATTAAAGTGCTATAATTTCTAAGTTACCATAAAATGTGGGATTTTTTTCCATATAAGCAAAAATATACTTTTTGAATACTACTTGATCTATCAGAAGATAGCTGAGAAGACTGGATATTCATCTGCAGTTAATTTAATTTCACTGTAGTTGAGTATTATAATAATAAAACTATTATTTAATAATTCAACAATGCTCAATGGGTTTTCTGTTGTCAATATATTCAGAGGGTAAATCTGTATCACAAGTACAGCAGCATAACCAGTAAACAACATACACATTTCTGAGCTGCTGTTCAATAAGAAAGAAAATGGAAAGTCTAAATAACCTCCTTCAAATTTGATTTTGCAAGCTAAGGCTACCCTTGATCTACTAATCACTGTCTCACTGAGGTGAAAAGTACTAATTCAACAAACTTAAAATTGTAATAAGAATTTGGTATGTTATCAGATATCTAGTGAATTTCTAGCTGAAGTGACTACTAAAATAGAGTATAGATGACTTTTACATATTGTTTTGCTTGCCTGCCTGGAAAAAAATATTGAACAGAGAATTTTTCTTGAAGTACTGCATGACATCCTTACTCCAAGAGGAGAACTCTTCAAATTCCTAGAGTATCACCCCTTATTTATATTACTGCACTCATGCTATCTATGGGCCTTCCAGATTTTAAGTGCTTCCAGGGTCTACCTTGCTCCCAGTATAAATCAGACCAGCCTTGGAGAGTAGCTGCTTCCCAGGTTGCTGTTAGATGGGGAAGAAATCAATTCTTAGCTGTGCCATGGGCTCTGTGCCAGTGGAGGACACCCTATAGATATTTTCAATCAAAAACTTGCATCCTCAGAGCAGCATAAAATGTCTAGGGTGAAAAACGAATTAGGCCCTTTGGTTCCTCCCCTTTAGAGATACAGAAATAAGACCAAGCTTATTTATCAGATCCAAACACACCAAGACTTTGGAGAAAGTTTGGATCTATAGCTGTATTTATAATATGAGCCCATTCCTACTCCTGACATATCTTGCTGTGCCTGTGATTAGGAAAGGTTATGGCTGTGAATCATGGCTTGAGGAAATGTGTAGTACACCTGTGTACAAGAGTAAACTAAATTCAGTTTGCTATTTATCTAGTGTATTTATCTCAGTTAAGTAAACTTTGAGTTTGTCAAGATTTCCTGCTGGAAATTCTCATGATAATACGAGTATAATTGCCTTTTTATTGCCACAGACATCTGCTACAGTTTTCAAACAAAGAAAATACTTTCCCCCCCCCCCCCCCCCCCCCCCCCCCCCCCCCCC